CAAGTGATCATGAGGGGGGGAAATGTATTCATGCTTCTCCCCATCCCCCCAAGTCTCATTTATAACAATTCCTAATTGGCCTGCCTCATTTACAAGTTCTAAAATTAATTTGAAACCCTTTCTCAGAGCTCATGTCATCATTAATAGCATGACAGCAACAGGGAGTGAAACAGAAATGTTTATAAAGCTCCCTTTTAAATGGACTGTGATAAGTGACGTAGAGATGTATTACTATCAGAGGGTTCCGAAGCTCTCTTTGTGAAGGTTAGCCACAGGCAACACTCAAAAGGGGGCATTTATCTTAGTGGGAGATGCCCTCCGTCCTCTTTTGTTTTATTTCATGAATGAATTTTTTTTCTTCATGGTGGCTAAAACCATTTTTTGTGTGTTTTATTAGCTGTATCTTGACTACCTCCTACAAACTGAATGACAGTTTGGGGTTATTAAATGTGTTCTTACGCATATTTTTATCCATTGTTAACCCTGACTAAATGCATGCAAGGGCACAGAATTCCCCCTCCTTTTACTTCATTGTTGCCCATATTTGTTAAAGAAATTATTCCCCTTGACGTTTGTTTAGGCTGTACTTTGATAAAATGCTGTCTATGGCTCACTTTCTTAGCTTGGCATTCAGCAGACTCATATAGATTTATTTCTCTTTACATTATCTTATCTTTCTTTCAAGCATATTTGGGCTTCCTTTTCATATTTTAAGCTACATTTGGGGGCATAGACAGATCACCTTACTAATTGTATACTGGACTATTGTGGTGTTCAAAAGATAATTTTGTAAGACTTTGGCGTATACTTAACCCCACTAACGTCTAAAGATGAGTGTATATGTTCTTTCTGTGTTCTGTGTGAGCAAGTAAAAAGGACAGATTAAGCATCGAAAGTGATCTTAAGCATATTAAAAACTTCCTTCAGTTTGATAAACAGTATAGTTTCTGAAAAGGTAAATTGGATCTAGAATGACATCAAAATAGAAGGCAATACACTTACTGGGGATAGCAACAACAACAAAATAATAAAGAAAACTTTTCTTTGTATTTCTGATTTGTAATTAAGTGTGTTATCCTTGGTACAATTTTTTGATTTTTGCTTTTTAAAAAAATCTGTGTTAGACCTGCCAGTAATGTTCTTCCATTTCTGAAAGGCTGGATCAAAATTCCCCATTTGAGGAACAAAGGCAGGAACATTTATACTTAACTTCCTAATTTATTCTAGTATATTCCATTTTCTCTAAACAGACCTTCATATATTTGTCATTGTTTAAATTGCATTGTTTAAATTTCTACATCAGCAGATTGGTTAATGGGAATATTTTTAAAGTGTAGAATAGTATGTAGAAAAAGCAACTGAAGTTCGTCTTTACAAAAATACATGTTTGTGCCTCTCATTCTAAGAATAAAATTGAAAAAAAACTGACTTAATGTATGGAAAGTAGAAATACATAAACATGCAGAATTAGACTAGAAATTTAAATGATTACTTAAATAATGTGCAAACCTAATAAAGAGTAATTTTAAAATCATTTTATAAAGATTATTGCTTAGACTGTGTATGTATTATAATGACTTAACAGTTTTCTCAGCAAATCTGTACAAACAGATAATAGCCAAATAAAGTTTAACACATACAAAATATTTTTACAAATATCTTATGATGTGAAAAATTTCGACCAACTTATTTTTTAGTGAAGCAAATAGTTCTATTTAAAAAAATTGGATAAATGTGAGGGAGAGAGAGAGAGAGAGAGAGAGAGAGAGAGAGAGAGAGAGAGAGAATCATACTCAAGAGAGAACAGGAGCTTCTTCTCCATAGGGTAAAAATCCCAAATCAACTTATTTTAGGAGAAGGTATGGTTAGTGTGTGGTCAATATTTCAATAAGAGTTTCAAAATACACATAATCCTCTTAACATTAATTGTATGTATCACTTCCATAATGATAAAATGCCATAATTTATGAAACAGCCAAAACAATTGTGATGAGGAAAACATTGTGAACAAGAATATCCATGTTGATGAGTTATTTTTAAATATACTTTTATAAAAATAATTTTGAATGTATTTTGATGTTATTATCACATTTACGTTAATTCTCATTTCTTCAATCTCAAGAGTACACAACAGATGAATAGTTGTTAAGCAGTGGGTTCCACTGGAAAAGAACCCTCAATACTACTCATCATAAGAATGTTTTTGAAAGACTCTGAGAAAAAATAATAAATGTTTTGCTCCCAAAGTGTGCAGAAATATGAGATTTATATAAAGATCTCTCTCCACAAATATGTTTTCACATATCAGTAAGTTTTTTATCAGCATTTTTAATGACTACATACAACTATAAAGAATGAGTTTTAAGGGTTTACTATCAATATTCCATTTTACTGATACTAATATTTTAGGTATATTTAAAAAACTACAGTGGTTAAGACACTTGTCTTGCATGTAGCCTACTAAGGCCAATCCCCAGCATCACACATGGTCTCCCAACTTCTAGGAGTGATTCCTGAGTGCAGAGCCAAGAGTAAACTCGTGAACATCCCTGGATGTAGCTCCAGACAAAAACAAAAGGCTTCACTTAGACATTTCAAATTTCTGGCAGTTTGGCTAAAATATTGTAATCCCCTTAGGTATATCGTAGTTAAGTCTGAGAAGTTAGCAAATGGGCACTCCCTGATATGAAGCCTGTACAGCCTCTGAAGGTTGACTTTCTATATTTATATGCTCTAGCAATGAAAGCCAGCATGTCTATTGTCTCAAGATGTTATTCAGGGAGAGACAGGCTCTGTGAAGCTGAATATTATTGCTGTAGTCGGTTGTTAAGGCTGCACTGGTTTTCTTCGAAAAGTGGAGATATTTCCTGACATAGTGCTGCTCAAATGTTTGACTGGGACTCATACAGAAGCTACTACTGCCTGGCATTAACAGGGTCCAGAAAAGTCCATACAAATCACTGTCATAAAAAAGGAAGGAAAGTCTGAGATCCACATAATGACCATTCTGTCAAAACATCTGGAGCAGGCCTGGGGACTGGGGATGGATGTGAAAGAAAGACAAAACAGAATTCAGTACTGGGACTTGTGTATAAAGATGAGTTCCAATATGGAGGCTTAACTGAAGCTGTGAAGTTCTACAATATCCAGAGTGACCTAAGGTTGTAGAAATGACCCAAACAACTGCAACAAGACTTTCCTTGTGGAAATACTAAATGGAGGACACCAGAAAAGTCATGTCCTTCTCAAAAATGGTTCCCCAAAACTTTAGGTTAAACTTTGCAACAGACACAAAATTGGACTTTAACGATGGGAGGAAACAATTCTATTTTTTTTTTAGAAAACAAAGATTAGAAATTAAGCAGGAGACAATGTAATTTTTTTTAATGAGAGGAAAAGTTGGATAGTGTTGTCCTCAAAGTTAAAATGCAAAGCTAATTTATTTCTTGAACAAACATTTCTGATACCCATGATATAAGCAAGGTAATTGTGAATGAGACCTTAAAGATGAGATGCTGCACAAGGTAATGGCCTTTGTGAACAAAAAAAAAAATGGCAGAGAAGCTTATGATGCAAGAAAAAGTGGAACGGGGCTGGAGCAATAGCACATCATGAAGGGCGTTTTCCTTGCATGCGACTGACCCGGGTTCAATCCCCGCCATCCCATATGGTCCCCTGAGCACCGCCAGAAGTAATTCCTGAGTGCAGAGCCAGGAGTAACACCTATGCATTGCTGGGAGTGAACCAAAAAGCCAAAAAGAAAATAGAAGGAAAAAGTAGAACATTTTCAAGGACTACAAAAGGCTGGTGGTATATAATATGGTGAAGCTTGATACTTTAGGAGAAGAGAGAATAAGACACCTTCAGAGAGGTGGCATAGTGGCATCAACTCACTATAGGAATTAATAAAAGCTCTTGATTTGGTATATAACTGGTGACACAAGAGATTTTCATTTCACCAGAATGCAGAAATCTGTCCTATAATTTTTTAAAAATTACTTTGGTCTCTTTATCATAGAGACAGGGGAGTATGTAAGTAGATGCTGATAATTTGGAAAACTTTGGCAACAATAGGTCCTTTCATGTAAGTGTATGTGTTTTTGAAGAGATAGCCATTGCAGTAAGTTGTCAATGAATTTGAATGAAGAAGGAAGGAAAGGAATTAAGGGTGAATTCTAGACTTGCTACTTGTAGTGCCCAGTGGATGTTGGTAAAATTAAAGTGAAAAAAAAAAGACTAAAATATTATTAGTAACATTAAAGTGGAAAATTAGCTCTAATATTGCTGTCTACCTACGAAAGAAAACATCGCATGAAAAAATAGCACTGTAGCACTGTCCTCCCTTGTTCATCGATTTGCTCAAGTGGGCACCAGTAATGTCTCCATTGTGAGACTTGTTGTTACTGTGTTTGGCATATCGAATACACCACAGGGAGCTTGCCAGACCCTACCATGCGGGCAAGATACTCTCGGTAGCTTGCCAGGCTCTCCAAGAAGGACAGAAGAATTGAACCCGGGTTAGCCGCGTGCAAGGCAAACACCCTACCTGCTGTGCTATTGCTCCAGCCCATGAAAAAAATAATGCTTCATACTGAAATATTTCCCTGTTTTTGTTGGGTTACATGGGAATACCTACACTCTTGTTTGAAACTGGATGAATGGATAATTGGGTTAGTGGGATGGATGGCTAGATGGATAAATGTATGGATAAATGAAAAAGTATTAGAATTGATTGCTCAGATTAATTTCTTGCATTTCTAGTATGTAACTATTTCCATAAGCCACTGAAAGGTGCTCCTCTCAGAGAACAATAGTGTGTGAGTCACAAGAATTCTAACCGAAACACCCCACCTACTCTGAGAGTCATGGAGGTAGTTTTGTCATAAATATTAGGCAGAATTCTTTACAACTGGAATAATCTCTGTGGATCATCCCAACTATGAAATGTAATTTATTTTCACTCTATAAAAATGATTACAACAACTTTTTTTTTTCACCAGACAGGAAGCTCTGCTTGCAGCAATCAGTGAAAAAGACGCAAACATTGCCTTGTTGGAATTGTCTGCCTCCAAAAAGAAAAAGACACAGGATGAAGTCATGGCCCTCAAGCGGGAAAAAGATCGTCTAGTGCATCAGTTGAAACAGCAGGTGGGGTCTCCTGCATGAAAAGTGTGTTATGCTGGGTTTGGGGCTTTGGGTGCTTTCTCTGGGTTTAGCTAGTCCTCATTTTTTCATGTCCATTCTGCGTGCTATAGCAGCTGAAGCCAGGTAGGAGTGGAATGGCCCATGTTTCCACTAAAACACCATTCTACTGCTTTTCTTTGTCTACGTGCATGTGCCTTGGCTTATGTAATTTGCAGCCGGTGCTATTTTCCTTTCTTTTGTATTAGTATCATTTCCCCAAAAAATAGCTCTTGGCTCTCTTCCTTCTAGTGAACTTTGTGTGACTGTTGAATAAATTCTAGTACTATGAATTAGATTCAGAGCACTTTCTGTTGGAGCTGCTACCTTCTGTCTTGCTCACTTTCTCCTCTTACCCAACCCCCAATAAATGTTCCCCTTCATCCAGTTCTTTAGATTTCTTTCTCTCAATATGTCCTACCTGGTTCTTCAGCTGTTTCTTCCATGAACTTTAGACCAAGGAGCATCTCCTAGATCCTAGCAATGCAGAGCTATTCTTGACCTTTCCAGCAATTATTAATTAAATATTTTTATCAGCTATATAGACACTTATCTTGTTTTTTACTCCTTTCTGTACTGCTGTATTTATTCTTAGATGAAAGGATGGAGGAACATACTACTGATTTGTGAAGAAACTTCTTTGCTTCCTGGAGGGTTTTCTGAAGGTTGCTTGAATGCATATAATTGCACCTCAAGCAAATTGCAAATCATCCCTGAGAGCTGCAGAGATTGCTTCTCCTCCTTCTATAACTTGTGGACTGTTGTAAGCAATAGCTCCATTAATTCAGGTTCTAGCTTTTCAAAAATCCCCGTTTAGAAGGACTCAATGCTCAGTGGTCTCAAATGATGTCTCCCGTATCTTAGCTGGATCCACATATGACTTTGAGAACTCTTTAAATCCTACACTGTACATTTTGGCATGTGTCTGCTTTGATTTCAGTCGCTAAAACTAACTCTCATGGTAGGATGAAGCATAGCACAAAGGGAAAAACACCCTCCCCTTATACCCTATAACTGGGGGCTTCCTTTTATTCTTCACAAAGGAAAAGGCATTCTTAAACCCTAAACCAGAGTCTATTTCTCATTGGGCCTCCTTGGATAGAGGGAGAGAGAGAGAAAGAGAGAGCAAGAGAGAAAGGAGAGAGAGAACAAGAGAATGAAAGAGAGTGAGAGAAAGACAGAGAGACAGAGAAAGAAAGAGAGAAACCTCTGCCATGCCTGGGTGCGCTCTCCTGCAAAGGGAAGGTTCCAGCCACTGCCAAGCATTGGGGTCATTCCACAGAGTGGCATGCCTTGCTAACGCTGGCTCTGGGGCTCAGGGACTGCTTAAGTCTCACCTCTTTGGGGCTGTGCAATCTTGGTTTTTTTCTACCCATTTGGTTACAGAAAGCCAAAACAAGCCTCCTCTGCTTTCTCCTACTTCCTCCCCATGTGCCCTGCATCCTCCCCTCCTACACCTAACCATTGTAGCTTTCTCCCACAGGTTTATAGACCTAGGAAACAGCCCTTGAGCTCGAATATACCATGCACATGTGATGCTGGCTACAGCCCAGATTTTACGGCCAAGTACTACGGGTCCAGCTACGATGCATACATGATCCAAAGGCCTCAGGTCAGTCAGCTGCTAAGGAGACACTCTCCCCTTCTATGGGGGGTTGCGTGTGCAGAAGAACTTTGGCCTATCTTGACCTCCACCTCTTTAGATGATTTCCAGGACTTGGAAACCATCAAGTTTGGGATCATAGATAATAGTATTATGTCTTGATTTATCATATAACTTTATTTACTGGATATTTTCCAATGATTCCAGACCTGGTGGTCACTGCATAGGGTCAGCTCTTCTTAAATAACCTGGCATTTCTGCCCAGCAGAGGCTGCCACCCGAGGCCTTTCTCTACAGCATAATGGATGAATTTTTCTTTCTGTCTCTTAGATACTTTGCTCCCTATATCTCCCTCTATTTTCCCCAGTAAGGAATGTTTTAAGGCTGCTCCCCCCCCCCCCCACCCCAGCATCATGAAAATGCACTCTTGGATTCCAGGAAGGTTTGAGTGTAGCCCTTCAATTTGCTCCTGGGAAACTGCACAAAGCCCTCATTATTCATGACAGGCCTGGTTTTGGGTATCATGGGGCACATTTGGGAAACCCCAGCCATGCAGAGTTAGGCTCCCGCCTCAGCTAAAGCAAGGTCTGAAGGGCTGTTGTAAAAAAAAAAAAAAGGCCATGGAGGAGGAGGATGTGCTCCACAGTGATTTAGGTTTGAAATCCTCCCCACACCCTCCTGGCCACAGATTATAAAAATGCACATGAGTTTATGTATCTTTGTTGCAAATGATAAAGATTCTAAGGAGAATAGTTAATTTGCTTATAAAATTCACCCCTTTTGTTTACTATGTGATTGTTTACTCTGTGACAGAATGAGTATCCATGTTCATCAAGGATTCTGTCTCAGATTTTCACAGCCACACTATGGTTAGATGCCAGAATTATCCACCCCTTTGTTTAGGCGCCATAAATGAGATTTGAGCATATAGAATAAGGAATCCATGGAATGAAATTTATATGTGTTAGAGCTTCCAATCTTTGGATGTGTTGGCTGGAACCCACACACACAGTCCATGTTCAGGAGGGAATTCAGCCCACAGAGGAAAATTACAAAAGGTGTGAGTTTCCCTTGTTTGTAAACCTTGAAGGAGTGTGCAAAAATCCATTTACAAATAATGCCATGAACAGGGCATGAATACTGACCGGAGCTTTTAGATGTAGGCTATTTGATCACATTAATAGATAGTAATACTTTGGGACTCTTATCTTGTGCCAGGCATGAGTTTAAGGGCATTTCACGCATTATTTCATCAACTCCTGGTGAAAGTGAAGAACTTATACTCTTAAGGAAGAAACCAGAGACACTGAGGTTGGATGCTTCATAGCTGTGCATACCATGCTACCTGAAGAGTCCCCTTGCCACAGAACTATAAGTGAATTTTGTTGATGCCATATGTTGTTTGACTTCTTAGAATGTATCTTCTTTAGCACTTGTTAGCTAAGTGGTCAAAGGCAAAAGATTATACCTCCAGGGTCTTCAATTTTCTTATCTGTAAATTGGGCTAATAACACAAAAGGTGAAGTGCGGTGAAGAATAAAATATATAAAGTGCTTTTAACATATCTGATACATAATTACAACTATAGATAGATAGATGCTACTGTTCTTACTACTACTACTGCTGTACTATTACTGCTATTGTTGCTGCTGCTACTATAAGTGTTACTACTATGAATGGATTCTTTCATCTTTAACCTTCAGGCTTAAATATTTTATTTCATTGTCCCTGTTTCTCTCATACTCGGGAGTCACAGGTCACTGAAAACACTTTTGAAGTAGGGGAGAAATGGTAGACAAATACTGATGCCTTCTGGCTACCCTCTCCTAAAGCTCTTGGAAAGCAGCGAGCATATATGTCAGAACACTGTCTCTAGCTCCAAGCTCATACTGAAGTTCACAATGCATATTAAATTTATGAATCGGCTAGATGTCATTCGAAGAAGATACTTCCTTGAAGGGTAAATTCCAGAATTCAATTATCACTACTTTGTGACCAACCAAAAAGGTCAGGAGCTTTTATCAGGCACTAAGGATAGTGAAATGGGAAAATCATGGGTTTTGGTGTACATCTGCCCTGTGTTCTGCAAGGATACTAAGGCCATCTGTCTACTGAGAGGCTTCATTTTGAGGTCTTCTCATCTCATGTGGAATGACTCTCCAGTGTTCATGTCATTCCTAATGATTAATAAGAATTAGTCATTGATAATCCCTGATAGTAATAGCACACTGCCAAGAACACAGTTGAAAACCAATGAATACTTGGAGAATGAGTGCTGTGAGTCCTACGTGTTAAGTTCTGTGCAAAGCACTGTAGGTATATATAAGTTTATAGCCATCACTTCACCTTTCTTAATCAATCGATATTTTCATACCTACTGTCAGCATTGATCTCTGGTTATTAGTAGTCATTCACAGATATTTTATCTATTGCTGTGAGGAAAGCATCATTCCATGTTAGAGTTGATTTAATCATGGCTCTGGAAAGAAGCCAGATGACTTGACAACAATAGAACCTTTTACTGGCAGTGTAGAGATGCACCAGTGTGCTACAGTAGCACTAACACTTTGCTTATAGCCAAATGCTGCCTTCCTAAAGCAAGGCTGTGAGCCATGGCTTAACCCTATATCTCCCAGATAGCTTCAGAGAAACTCAGTTCCAGTTGACCAGCCTGCACCTCCAAAGCTTCTTAAACACATGAGGATGAGAGAATTGGTTAGTTGGTGATACCAAGTGCCACAATAACATTCAACTCAGCAACTATTTTGAATGCATGTTCAATGTTAGAATTTTAAACATTTTGAGAATAAATCCATGATCAATTAGATGAAGGTCCATTCCTCACAGAGCTTACTTTTAACAGATCTGATTGGGGGAGAGAAGTAATAACTCATGAACACAATAAATAAGTAAATTATAGTTGAAAAACATAGACCAAGGATGGCAAGAGGACAAGAGACCAGTTACAGTGATAGTGGGTAGAGAAGACTGCATAGGACTCTTGTATGGGATCTGCTAAGAATAGTCTGTTCTGGACCTAGTCTGTGTTTGAAAGCAGAATGTACCTACCTTGCAGCCTTAAGACAAAGAGGGCTCCCTGGAATCATCCTTAGTGATTCAGTTTATGGCTATCTGACTGAAACTACTTTTCAAGTTCCAGTCTTTAAGGTGTCCTATTGGTTAAATCGCATTAAAAAAAAAAAAACATTGCAGCTTCCAAGTGATGTCATGAGAACTAATGCCAGAATTTTTTTGTCACAGCTGATGAGATTTTTCAAGCTAAGTAAGAACAGGCCCTTTGACAAAAATGCCCTCCTTAACCCTCGGCAGTCTGAATCACATTTCTATAAAGTCCAGATCTTTA